TTCTCTTTGGCAGGAGCAAGAAACAGGAAGTAACAGGAGTTGCAGGGCTCTTCAGTCTTTGGATTGAACAATATTAATTCATTCTCCAGTGGTTTAAGATACATGGACCAAGCCCATTTCTGCCATCTTTCCATTCATCTATCTACCCATCAATTAACAGATTCATATTAAGTGAGCAATCTAGAGATATTAAGTTGCATAAGATAGAAATTCCTCCTCCAAGAACTGCATATTCTATCAAGAGATGAGTAGGAGAGATACAGCCATTAGGATTCAGTAATTCACATTCTGGTTGGGCCAGCTGGTCTATGTTCTCAGCTTTCCTATTTCACTGCTTTCATGATTAGCTTCTAGGCCAGCATCAAGCCCCAGGGCTATCCAAGTACAGCCCCTTGGCAAATTGTGTGATCCAAGAAATAACTTCTCTGTTGTAGTGGAAAGAGTCTTTGTCTGGGATTAGAGCTACCTAGGATCTGCTTCCTCCAAGGCAGTCATTAGCTTTAGGTCTCCACATAGATTCATCTCTCTCTGGGCTTCAGAATCCTCATCTTAAGAGTGACAGAATGTGGCCAGATAATTCCTGGTGGTCCCTGCTGCTCTGGCATTCTGAAAATCTCTGATCCTACTCAAGTTGGGATGGTATCTGGACACCCTTTTGTAATGAGTGGTGGGATCCAGAACTTAGATTCTGAAATCAGGCTGATTTGGACAGAGGCTTCCTCATGGGAGGGATTTCATCAATGTAATTGGCATGTGCACCTAGGTGCCAAAGCACTTTCATTCCCGTTGTCAGATTCTAACTTCGTGAGGACCTGTTGAAGTGTCTTCACTCCCATCGTTCTGCAAGGAAACTAAAGCCCAAAGTGCAAAATGGTTAATTAAATGCTAAGTCCTTTAGGTTACTCATTTCATTTAATTTACACAATAATCCTATGACTTTTCTATTTCTTCTTTCTTTCCTCTTTCTCTTCCTTCCCCTCCTTAATTTTCTTCTGTCTTATAAGTAAGGAGCCCGAGGCCCATGAAAGTTAAGTAGGCTTTAGCCGTTAGCAAGTACTAGAGCTCAGGTTCAACTCAAACCTCTCTAAGTCTAAAGTCTCTGCTCATGAGCTTGGTCAGAATCTGAAATGCCTATAGGGCCTGGACAGTTACACAAATGAATGAAATTATCCAGGTGGAAGAATTATTTCACTTCCATTTTAATTTCACCAAAGAAAAGAACACAGGTAAAATAATAAAAGGAAGTTTATCCTTTGCATTGCATCATGGATACAGTAAAAAATAGATGGACATTTACAGAACATCAAAGTATATGACCTACCTAAGAGCGGCAGATGTTAATGAAGTTGAGGTCAGGTGGACCCACGTATGCCAGATATTTTGATTTGAACAGAAAACTGGATGTCTATCATCTTTCAAAAAAATCTCTTTGTTTCTAAATATTAATGATTACTTACAAAATTATGTAAGCAAAAATGATTTAGGTGAAACATAAGAAGATATCCATCTGGACTGTATCTGGCTCACAAGATGCCAGTTCATTATTTGTGTCCTGCACGGTGCTGCTCTCTTGAAGGGCTACCCCATAGCACTAGCTGTGCACCTTCTGTGACGACTTCAGGCTGTCCAGCCGAGGACCGGGACACCACAGGCAGCCAGCCACCCAGCCCTGACTGCTGCTTGGTCTCCAGCTCCTCTGCGTGGATGTGAGCTATTGTGAATATCATTCTTGTCTAGATGCTTTTGCATAAAATAGCTGCCTTAATCCTCACAACAGCTCAGCAAAGGTTTCATATCTGCACTTTGCAGATGAGCAAATTAATACTCAAATCAGTTATAAAGGGCACACAGCTAAAGTAGCCAACCTGGGATGTCAGGATCGGCTCCGACCCAACCTTTTCTCTCTATACCTTCGAGATGATTCTAACTGCTTCCAGTTAGGGAGCTTTTCTCCTTTTATTTCCATCTGGTCAGAGCGTCAGACAAGGAAGGAGACAGGGGCCTGGAGCCATCGTCCAGGAGAAGAGATACCTCTGTCACCCCCATCACCCTCACCACTAGCCCTTGTCAGGGTGGAGGAAACAGACAGGACGAGAGAAGAGAGAGAAAACAAGAACCTGCTCCTCCGTTGCCCAGCAGCCCTGGCACTGAGGCCAGACACTCCCACCCCTGTAGGTGACTGCAAGGACAGGCACACAGGGAGGGGACCAGCTGCTGGAATGCCAACCTGGGTGATGAGCCAGGCAGATGCCAACCAATTGTCTCATGGTCTGAGCCAGGCCCAGAGCCCTTTATATAAAGACAGCCCTCTGTCCAGATGCCTCAGCCTGAATGACTGCTTGCCTTGAAGAAGGTAGGTCTGGGGGCTGGGCCCTGGAATTGGGGTGGGGGTGATGCTCAGGGGGTGCTCAGATTCACAGGGGTGAGGCATAGTGAGGGGAGACGCTGGGAGCAAAGGAAGAGCGGGAGAGCAGCCGAGGAGAAAAGTCCGGTGGACTGTTAGGGGACATGAGAAGAATATCTGTGGAGTCTGTGTGAAGAAATGGGGCACTGAACTCTATTTACCTTCGATAACTCTGGCCTCATCCTTGGGGACCATTTTCCGTCTTCAGGACCTCTCTCCCTGGAAAAGATGCATTAGTAATCACATCCCATGAGCAGAGCTGGGTGTAGGAGGGTTACCTTCCCCAAGGGCATATGTATTTAGATGTTCTCTATACATGGAGAATGGAAGGCTTTGCCCTTCACGGGAAGCATTTCAGTATTTCAGGAGCTTACTGAGAAGGGTTTGGTTGGGTGAGCCGATTGTCAAACCAGCCTCCCTGCTGTGCTGATCACAGGGCTGCCGGTATGTGAACAGGTGGATTTGGGGAGGGTGGGGGAACTGCCCTCTGTTTCTCCCTGGCTGGGTGTGGTGTTGGACTGTGTGCCTGTGTCCCCCACGTCACATTTGTCATGCTCCTGCTGCATGGGCTTTAAGTGTGGCTGAGTGTCAGTCTCCTAATCAGGAGGTTACCCCTCTTAAGTGATTCCACCTGCCTTTCAGAGGGGCTGGAGAGTGACCTTTCTGAAGCTGGCAGCAACCCTCCAGGGCAAGTTGTTGGTCCCGAGCCTTTCCAAGGCTGATGTTTTGTATGTGCGTGTTTTGTGTATGCCCACAAGGGCCAGTTTAAACAAATTCACCTAAAAAAGATTGAATATAGAGAAACAGACGTTTTATGTTGAGTTTGAGCTGCCCGATTACTAATTGGATTCTTTACCTTCCAGTGGATGCTTTATTGCAGACGAGGCTTGTTCTCATATATGCATTTTTTCATGTTTGCACAGTAAATGTGTGAGGAAATTCAAGTTCCTATGGTGTGGAGTCCCCACTTTGGACAACAGCCTTGGGAGCACGGGTTACCTCTACTTCCATAGAGCTCCCTCCCACCACTTAGGACCCCAGGAGGTGATAGGAACCCTCTTGTTATTAGCATCTTCTTGTGCTGGACACTGGATGCCCACCCTCCAGGGAAAGAGCCCGGGCACCTGCAACCCTGACTGTGCTGTTGAAGTTATCTCAGATCAGGACCTCGGTCAGGTAGTTTGGCAGATGCAAGGGAGTCCTCTTGGGCAATAGTCACTAATCTTGGGTCCAGACAACTTAGTAAGTCTTCTCGAATGAAGGTCGAGGGTAGGGGAGGAAAGGTCAGGGAAGAAGCAGGGTGTCTTCCTCTTGGTCCTGGCCCCTCCCCCCCAGCTCTCACCCTCCTAAAGCTTGTCTTTCTACCCTCAGGTCTGCTGACCCTTCTGCATCGGAACCATGTGTGACCAGCAGCAGATTCAGTATTGCATGCCGCTCCCCCAGTGCTGTGTGAAGGGTTCCTCCTTCTGCCCTGCCCCGTCCCCCTGTCCCCAGGGCCAGGTGGTAGTTCAAGCCCCTTGTGGGATGCAAATTGTGGAGTGTCCTGCACCATGCCCAGTTCAAGTTTCCCAGGTGAAGTGCCAGGCTCCCTGCCAGTCCCAGACCACACAGGTGAAAGGCCAGGCTCCAAGCCAGTCTAAGACCACCAAGGTGAACTGCCAGGCTCCATGCCAGTCCCAGACCACACAGGTGAACTGCCAGGCTCCGTGCCAGACTGAGGTGTGCTACGTGCAGTGTGAAGCCCCATGCCCTGTTCAGACCTGCTACGTAGAATGTGCTCCAGCGTGTTATACGCAAACGCGCTATGTGGAATGCCCAGTCCAAACCTACCTATCCTATCCAGCTCCCCAGCCTGTCCAGACTTTCATCCCGTATGCCCCTGCATGCCAGGCTCAGGGAAGGTTCTCCACCCAGTGCCAGTATCAGGGCTCCTTCAGCAGCTGCGCCCCCCAGCGTCAGTCCCGGGCTTCCTACTGCACTTCTGCGCCCCAGGGCCAGGCCCAGGGCTCTTACGGCGGCTGCCCCGCGCAGCGCCGCGCCAGGAGCGCCAGCAGATGCCCCCCTCCTCGCCAGGTGCGGCCTTCTTACCGCAGCTGTTCCCCGCCGCGCCAGATGCGGCCTTCTTACCGCAGCTGTTCCCCCCCCTACTACAGCAGCTGCGAGCCCTCAAGATGCCCTTCGGGTTCCTATAACTACTGCACCCCACCCCGCCGCTCGGAGCCCATCTATAACAGTGGCTGTGCTCGGCGTCCGGCTGCAAGCTGCTCTCAGAGACGCGGCCCCAGGTGTCGCATAGAGATCTCCTCGCCCTGCTGCCCCAGGCAGGTGCCCCCCCAGCGGTGTCCCGTTCAGATCCCTCCCATCCGACGCTGCTCTGGGAGCTGTGCTCCGCGGCCCTCCTGGGGCTCCTCCTGCCCGGAGCTGAGACCACGCGCAGAGCCACGTCCGCTGCCAAGCTTCTGTCCACCGCGGAGTTTTGACCGATGTCCGGAGCCGCCGCAGCCGCGATGTCCGATTCCTGCCCCGCGCCCATACCCGCGCCCCGCGCCCTGCGCCAGTCCCGAGCGCCGCCGGTGTTCGCCCCCTCGGCCGCTGAGTCCCGAACCACGGCCAGCCCCGCGGCCAGTCCCGCAGCCGCGCCCCATGCAGCGTGAGTTTCCAGAGCCACATCCACAGGCCTGCGAGCGCCCAGAGCCTTGTCCGGAGCCCATCCCCCTGCCAGCGCCCTGCTCCAGCCCAGAGCCGTGTGCGCAGCCTGGGCGCTGTCCCAGCCCGTGCTCCGGCCCACATCCAATGCCACGCTCAGGAGACCTAGGCTGTCGTGAGTCCCGCCCGGGCCGCCTGGACATCGAGGCCCCCAGCTGTGGCCCAGCTGCTTACTACCCGTGCGGAGAGAGCGGTGCCAGCTATGGACCTTGCGATGTGTTTCCCGAGCCGCGGGGTCAGGGTGCTAAAGGAGACCAAGGAGGCGCCTCTGTTGGAGTGAAAGGCGGGGTCTATGCTGGAACCAAGAGCGCCTATTTTTAAAGGCAGCTGGCTGAAACATTCCCGCCTCCTGCCCCGAAAATGCTCCTTTCCCAGCAGCCGCAATGTCTGTGTTCTTGTTTACAGCACTCCAAAGGTAGTCGGAGGCTCCCTGCTGCAGGAGTGGTGTCCAAACTCCTTTGCATGTCATCATGGGACCCACGCCTGGGTCTCAGAACCTCTGCAGCCTCACATCCAACTCCTCTCCCCTGTGCATCCTCAGTTCTAGCCAGACCAGTCTCACCACCCGGACACGTCCTGGGTGTTCCCCAGGACATACCTTAGACATCCCTGCCTCTCGGTCTCTGTTCACCACCCCTCCGCCCATCCCCGGGCCACTGCTTTGCTACTCCCAGCATCTGAAATCCAACCCCTTTCAAGACCTCTTCCTCGGAATCTTTTCTGCTTGTTTCTACTCACAGAAGTCTGTTCTGACCTCCTAGAACTCACTGAATTGTCCACACCATCCGCTTGGGAAGTGCCTTGCAACATCTCTCCTGAACTATTTTATTTTTCAGGTGTGTCTGTCTTACCTGCCTAACTAGGTTGTGAACTCCCATTTGAGTGGAGTCAGAATGTCCCTTAATTCCCTTGTTTCTCCCGGGGCAGGCAGCTACTCAGCAAGGCCTGTGGGTTGGCAGCTTGAGCCACGATCTGTCTTGATGGGCAACCCCAAGGCTAGGACAAGAGGAGTCCATGTAACAATAAAGATGATGCTACACTCAGATCCTGAGTCTTATGTGATACCTGTTTGTTACTCCTTCCTGATTCCCTGGGATGAGCTTTTATTTGTTTCCTTTATTATTTTTCTTCTTGGGTTTATTGTTACCTACGGCTAAATTTTCCTTAGACTAGCCCAGGTGGGCTGCTTTGTGTTTTCTGTCTCTCCTCAGTGTCCCTGGCCCCTGCTGGGAAAGGATGGATGAAAAGGCACACGGAATGAGGGAGCAGGGAAGATAAGTCCTGCTCCTCAGTCTAAGGGCAAAAGTCATCAGGCCTGTGTTGGTCAGGTCACCCAGCTCTGCTCTGGGGGCATAGTCACTGCCGTGGAGTCAGAGGAGAAGAGAAGGGATCCCTCCTAGGCTGTCTGGGACACACAGCACAGGATACACTTTCCTTTATTTCAGAGGAAACTATTTGCACTTTTTTTTGGACATACTAGAAAAGGGAACATCTGGGGCTGACTCTGAATTCCTCTATTGCTCCCAAATCCCATTAGGCATGTGAGTCTTGGCAGCATGAAGGTGGGGTTTGGAGGGGTAGTAGAGCCAGGGGTGTTTCTTCCTTCCACTCCCCCCCAGATGAGATAAGTGCTGGCTGAGGAACTAGTGTTCCTGCAGAGATCCCTGCCCCAGAGGGAAAGAGTGCCTGAGGCCACCAGGATGGAGGGGAGGCAGCTCTAGTCTGGGCCCTGAAGGTCTGATTCAGTGCCCTCCTCCTCAAGGTCCATAACCCCAGAGGGTCCCACAGCTCCAGCACCATCACTGTGCAACATAGCCCCAGGGCTGGCTCTGAATTTGTCTTTCCCTTGCCCCAGGGATCTAGTACTGTAATATCAGTGGCAGAGAACCCAAGAGACCACCTGGTAAAACCCTGTGTTGTATAAAGAAAAACTGAGGCTCTTCAAGTGAAATCCACGCATTTATTTATTGATTCACAAATACTCACTGCTTACTCGCTAGGAAGGCACTGGTAAAAGGGACAGACAGAAGCCTCTGAGAGCTTGCGGCCTTGCACACTGGTTCTCAAAGTGTGGTACCTGGTCCAGCAGCATCAGCATCACCTAGGGCCTTGTGAGAAATACAAATGCATCACCCCAGACCTACTGACACAGAGTCTTTGGGAGTGAGACTCAGAAAGCTGTTTTGGCCTGTCCTCCAAGTATTTCTGATGCCCAGTAATAGTTGGTTGTAACTAGTTTAGTAAAATATCTTACACAAGTAGAATATGAACATTTTACATATATATTTGACTCTTGAACACTGTGAAAGTTAGGGGTGCTGATTCATTTGCAGTCAAAATCTGCAAATAACTTTTGACTCACTCCACAACTTAACTACTAAGAGCCTACTGTTGACTGGAAGCGTTACCAATAGCATAAACAGTCCACGAACATGCATTTTGTATGTTCTTTATTTTATATACTGTATTCTTACAATAAATTAAGCTCGAGAAAAGAAAATGTTATTGAGAAAGTCAGAAGGAAGTGGTACATTTATAGTACTGAAAAAATCCACATGCCACATGTAGGTGGACCTCCATAGTTCAAACCAATGTTGTTCAAGGGTCAACTGTATAAATAAGTAAATATACACACACAGATACACACACACACACACACACACACACACACACACACGCATATACACATATCCTCCAGTGTCTACAAGAGCCCAGCACACTGGCATTATCTTGCCATTTTGCACAGCTGGAAACCTAAGAACACAGGATATTTGTGACTTGCCAAAGCCACACAGCCATTAATCCAGCCATTTTTCTAACACAGTTTGGGAGTTATCTCATTTACTGAACAGATTAATTTCACCAGCATTACACTTGCCTCCTCCTGAGAACCCAGGTTGCTCTGGGACTGTATCTGCTCTGTGGCACATGCCCCAGGGGCTTGGCAGGGCCCAAATGGCTCCCACAGGATATTCCTAGGTTTCCATTGTCCAGGTTCCTGGGTGGATGTGGAGAGAACAGGATGGTGAGAGGCTGGGAAGCCCCAGATTCTCATTAGGTCTCTCCCTCTGTTCTCTTGAACACACCCCTGGACAAAGACCCTCTTGTCTGGAGGATGAGCGGAAAGCAGTCCACCTCCTCCAGGTACAGAAGAAACACAGCCCTAGCTGTGAGAGAGGGACATTCACACCTAAGAAGCCAAACCCCACCCCCATCCCCCTAACCCTGGGACAGGGAACAGGCTCTTTATTGTAATGATCCGGTGACCTGCATTGACCTCCGAGGATACACTCTGGTCGCAGGGATAGCTAGGCCTGGAAAGGGGTTGAATGATGGGGGAATAGAGAAGTCTCTGGGTGAATCAGGCTGGGACTGAGCCAGGGAACCCCAGATGAGCTGGTGCTCCTCACAGGGAGAGCCAGACTCAGTGCCATCTCTGAAGCCAGAGAAGCTCTGGGCCCACGTTCATCTCCCCTGGGGCTAGTCTGATTGGCCTTGAAGGTCCTCCATTTCCTCAGGCAGAATGCCCAGCCCTGAGCCTCCAGACAGGCCCACAGTGAAAAGTTACAGCCTATTTGTAGCAGTTCAGAGGAAATGGGTATTCAGGAGTGTGTGCATCTGCATGTCCTTCTGTGGGCTTTCCATGTTTCTTTGTGTGTGTCTATGTGACTGCTCTTTATGTCTGTCTGCTTTAAAAGCTTGGGAGTTTTAAAATGCATTTGACAATGGGGACTGTGACCTCAGGAGCATGGTTTAGGATACCCTCCAGTCCTTCAATACTGACCCTTCTCAGTCATCCCTTCCACTCCCACCTTACTCCCTAGTTTTGGTATATCTCTCCTTTATCTAGGCATTACCCAAGCATTAAGAGGGAGACATTCCACATCTCATAGTTTGTCCTACAGACTGGAGCAGCCCTGATGAGCAAGCAAATGGAACTGTCATGCATAAGGGAGTAGCTCAGCTGTTAACAATGGAACAGATAGGTGGACAGAGGAAATCAGAAGCCAGGCAGTACACATGTGGACACTTTCCTGACGTATAGAAGAATAGTCAGGTGGTGACCAAGACTTCGAACAGGACTAGCATACTCCTGATTTCTGGCATGGTTGGACATCCCAGAGGATCCACATGCCTGTGGCCTAAGACTAGTTAGGGAGACAGACAGGGTGATGCACTTCACATTCATGTGACGATCCATGTGCTTCCCTATCATCAAGGCCGATCAAACTCATTCCTCCAAAAGATGAAGCTTCCTGACTTAGAAGACTAAACTAGAAGTATCTAGAAGCCTAGGAATTACCCAAGCTGTGCCAAAGCCACCCATCACGTTCATCACCACATCTAGTCATAGGAGCCTTGAGATGGGTTCACACCTTCCCTCTGTTCTCTAGTGCTCTATCTGTCAGGAAGAAAACCACTCATCAACTTGTATCAACACATCCATTTATTTGACACTCTGTAGGAACTGGGTGTGCTTGGTTCTGGAAACACAGTGGTGAGCTAGGCAGGCACTGTTTTGCTTGCATAAAGTCTGAGGGACAACAGAGTCTGTGAGAGTTTCCACGTGGGAGGCACAAGGTATCATGGAAGCCCATAGAAAAGACGCCTGAGAGGGTCAGGGGCCTAGAGTAGGCAACTACATCAAAGATATGAAAAATAAGGGGGAGTTATTTAATGAATGGAGGAAAGAGCAGAGTGGTCCTGGCAGAGAACAGCAGGTATAATGTCAACATAATGGACATAATAACGGTCAGCCCCAGGCGGGGTATTTCCTCCTCACTTGACCATCCTTCCTGGTTCCTAACACTTGTATGGTCCCAGGAATCCATCCTTGTCTTGCTCTAATGAACTTTCTTACCAACATCTTAAAGGAAGACTTGATAAGAAACCGACCTGAATTTAAGGCTGCCTAAACTTAAGGGAAAATTGAAGACTAGAGGTCTAATTCAACATGGATGAGAACAATGGACTTAATCTGACGTGATAAAATGTAATTAAGATAAACGTGAAGTTCTGAATTTAAGGTGAGTGGGTGTGTATTTAGCCACATTTGTGGAGAAAGCTTAGTTGGTTAAAATGGGTCAAGAGTGAGCTTGTCTGTGGCAAATGGTGATGAGCTCTTGCTCTTAACAGGCACAATAGTGTTGCTCTGCTTGGCCCAGACAATGCACACCCAGGCAGAATGTTCAGCTCAGGTAAAATGGGAGTGAGGCTATAGGATGACGACCTACTGTGCGCCAGTCACCAAATGAAGCAGGAACCCCACATCCTTCCTCATACTCACAATTTGAAAAGGTCCTATTATCTGTCCCAATTTA